TGTAATGTACCGGAGTTTTCTTAATGTCACAAATGTAATCTGCATTTTGCCTGAAAGAGAAACAGCAACAATTATGTAATCCTGTTAATATCAAATAAATTGGTTACAGCATTGTCATCCAAGACAAAGTAGATATTAAATTGATTATACATAATTTATTATATTACTTAAATTGATATACATCACTTTCAATTCTACAGAAGAAATTGGCAGTTCTTATGTAAATACTAACAACCCAGGTTTTGACTTACAGCTAATATATATACTAAATGCAACTTCTATAACCCTGATAATGTTAGAAAACAACTCAGTGATTATTTTACAATGCTAAAAAAACTATCAAAAGATTAGCAATGCTTTGTAGTGGTACTATTAAATATACAGGGCTTTAAAGGGAGTAGTGAAGCATGAAATCTTTGTAAACTTTAACTCTATGATACAAGAGGAATATAGAGAACTGGAAAAGGATCTAATTGACGAGCAGAACAATAGATATATAGAACATGATAAAGGTAAGAGAAAAACTTGTAAGAAATAGAAGCTAAAAGAAAAAGAGAAAAAGAAGTTGTATTGAGAGTGAGAAAAAGAAAGAAGCAAATATAAAGAGGGAAATATTGCAATGAGAAAAGGAAAATAGGGAAAAGATGATAAAAAGCATGTAAGAATGACAAAGGAAATTTTCCAAATCTCAAAGGATTAGAAAAGAGACGGGTGGGGAAAGAAGAGAAACAGAAAAAGAAAAAAATATGGAAACACACACACACACAAGTACACCACACAACCGTGTTCATATTCACCAGAAAAAGTAAAACAGAAAGAAATAAACAAAGAAAAGTGAACCAAGCAAACGACCAAAACCAAAAAGAAAAAAAAAAAAAAATTCTCTCAAATGTGTGATTTTTCTTCCAAGGTCTACAGTTTGGGAACAATGTCCAATTCAAGAATGTCCCTGCTCACAGTGGTAGCAAAATAAAAGTCAATCAGAACCCAGATTCATGTTGGATACAGTCACCAGCAAGCAGGAAGTATACTTAGGGTGAAGGTACCAATTATGAGACTTTCAAATCAACAGGTATTCAGGCTGAGCCAGGTTTGTGACCATTTGGGTGCTGTCTGTGTCATGTAATTAAACCCTTGTGGGTCTCTAATCAGCCTACCCATGGCTCTCTGATGACAGATATCTCTCATGGGTGTACCTCACCTAATCACCGTGGAAGCAGTGGTAGCATTAATTTGAAGCCAAACTGAAACTGCTCTGAGTCTCAGGTTCAGTCAGCACCTCCCTATAATGACATCCAACTACTTTCTCTAGGGAGATCTGACATCTGCTTGTACTGGAGTCACTCACTAGTTTCTGTAGCAGAGAGCATCCACTGGGCCATGTCACTGCTGTGTTTGTCTTTGAATGTTTCTGAAGTCTTCTACATTCACTTTCTTTGTCAACATGGTTTTACTTTCTCAGGAATCAGGAGCTGGGGATAGAGTACCAATTGCCCTTTCTTCTTTCTGTGTTGTATGACTCAATTTCTCTGTAGGCTCCAATTTTCTGATCCCAGAGTTATGAAGAACCACCTCCCTCTTTTTATTTCCTGCACTGTTACCCAATACCTGTATTTCAAATCTTGGTTTGTTATTGCTCACCCCTCTACCATTTTTCCAGAAAGCTCTAATTGTTTTTATTTTCATTTAATGTGTCTTTCACCTCAAAGATTTATGCTTTTGAGTTTTGTGAGGTTTTTATCTTCTGCCATTTCTCTGTACATATTTAATATTAGGGTACCGAATCATGTCTCTGTGTTCTTAAAACTCATTAAGATTCCTTGCAAGAGCTATCTTAAATTCCCAGTTCAAGAGTGTGTTCATAATAGCCATTATTGGTCAGTTTCAGATATTAATGTTGGCCATTAGGTGAGGTATGTTTTTCTCTGGAAGATGGTTAAGGTTGTGAACATGTGATTTCAAGCAGCCTTTAAAGGAGTGGTTATTTATTTAAGTTATACTACTCTGGGTTAAAAAGTTATTAATATTCATTGATCACATTTATTTTTATGATGACTCCATACAAATACATAGTTTACATTAATTGCAATCATCCTACTTTTATCCACCACCTTACTTGGGTTTTTGCTCCTTTCTTTCCCACATGTAATTGCATTGAGAATTTACATTTAGCCTGCAGACACTTCTATTTTTCTACTAGACAGTGCTTTAAGTCTAAGTTTACTTTGAGAGTATTATCAGTGTATTGCTACAATTTAATTACTAGAAGACAATACAAGGGATAAACTACCCAAATTCACAGATGCTGTGCTGTTTAGTAAGAACAATAATATTACCTAGAAAGAGTAGTCCATCCCCACAAGCCTCTCCTTGGAGTGAGGTAGGTCTGGTTGCCTTAGTCTCAGTATGATCAGGCACAGGGAAAAAATTTGTTAGATCTGGGCAATGTCACTGAAAGTGACCAATCATAGGCTCCTTGCCAGAGATTGATGTCTACTTTCCTTTTCCTCTCCAAGAAGATAATTATTCTTTCCCTGTTGAGAAGCCCCAAAGTAATAGAAGAATAGAATGGGCAGTTCAGTATCTACTGATGCTGTAATGTTATGTTGCACCTGGAATCTGCAGTTTACAAAGGCCAGTGGAGCACTGGTAGTGTAATAGGGTCTCCATTGTTAATACATGATTCTACTGAGCAAATTCATGGTGCAAACTTGTTGCAAAGAAGCTACAGGTGATGTAAGTTAGAATAAAATTCCAATGCACTAGGGAGATGCGTCTCTACCTTACACCAGCTCTTTTCCATAAGGTTAATCCATATAAACTGCACTAAGCAACATGAAGAACTGTGCAGAATTATATTTATCCAGTATAGCACATAGTTCCAAGACCAATTTATGTGCTTAATAACCAACAAATAATCTTGCTCCATACTCAGCTGTGTGAAGTCGTGGTGCAGATGATGAACACAGCCACTTAGGCATGAAGACTGGACATCCACAAGCACAAATACCTGCATAATCTCAGGGACTTCTGGGGTCATGCTGTAACTAGCAGTGAAACAACCAAAACATGTATGAACATTGGGGTGAATGACTCACATGAGTGAAATGACGATATCCCTTCAACAGATGAAGCTGATAAGATTGTATGTCTATACCCAAAAGAATGAAATTTTAGGCTGTATAGAAATTCAAATAATATAACCAGCAATCGAGAATTTGAAGCTTTTTGGAGCTGTCCAGTACCTGAAAGCTGCAGACATCTGTTGCATTTAGATAAGCATTTCAGAGAGGGAATATCCTTGAGAGTGGTCAGACTTAGAAAGAGTTCTGCTCATATTAAGATTCTCAGGCAGACATCCTGACAATTACACCATAGAACGAGGTATTGAAGCACTGCTGTGAACAGAGAAAATCTTTCTACACTCAAATTTAACCTTACTTTAGTGCAACTAAACATAATGAAGCTGGCTGTCATGTCCCAAAAGCAGTCCTTAGCTTGACAAACCAGATTGAGAGCCATTAATCCATGAGTTGAATCAAGGATTTCTCTTAGAGAAAAATAACATGAAAAGCCTTGGCTAATAACTGAAAATGATCCCATTCTTTGAAATTTTAGCATATATGTGTATTTTTCTCACATCGTCTACAAAACTTAATACCTTTAATAGTTTTACGTTTACAGTGTCTTTAGTTGTACTCAGTGAAAGCATTGTGAACTGCTTTAAACTCCTTCATTTTCCATCGTAACAGAGATCTATGTTTTATGCTCTGCCTTTACCATTTGTTTGAATCATGCAGATTGGCATTATTTAAACTTTCCTTCAGTGGCTTTGTTCATGTATGAAAACAAAAGACTATTCATAGGAAAATGGTGCACACCTATCATCCCAGCCATTTGAAAACCTAAGGCATAAGGATCTCAAATTGGGATTTAGAATGTTAAATTTAGCAATTTAGTGAGACACTGTTTCAAAATAAAGTAAAAATCACTAAGAATGTAGTTCAGTGTAAAGGAGCTTGATTATGTCACCAAGAGACAGCCATCCATGGAAAACAGACTAATGTTAAAATGGTTATATTCAAATCTTATGTGTGCTCATATTGGAAACCTAACACATATCTATTCTGATATAGAATTTAAAACACATAACTTAGCAACGAAGAATAAGGAACTCCAATCCTTGAGCAATAACAAGTCCTGACCGAAAGCCCAAGGAATCAGTAGATGTGTTTAAGGAAACAATCAACTTCCTATGATTTTTCATGAAATATGGCCAGTCTCAATAACATTTAACATTTGTCTCTTATCTGTGATTGCTGGATCTGCTCCAAGAAGGGAAATATACATTGAAAGTAGGTATCCATAAGTGGAAATTGAAAGCTAGACTACTAGGTATAATGTTTGTGGGTAAGTCATGGGCTATCTCACATCAAATAGTTTTTCAGCTTTGTATGAATGTACAAACAAGACTAATTCTGAATTGCTCTGGTAAGCCTCTGATTATCTCTCCTAAGTTTCTAAACTTTATTTCTCTCCTAACATTTGGGTCAGTGGCATTAGAGTGTGTGTGTTTTTTAAGAAATCATTTCAGGTGCTGACCTATTCAAATGTGTCTAAGACCTCTTTTATTGAATGACATTCTGCTCAAGACAGGGATTCTGACATTTTCCCGGTATTTTTCTCACATCGTCTACAGAATTCTTTAAGTGAAAGTTTAACTCTGTTCAGAACTTTTCCTTGAGGCTATTCACCAGATTATATTCAGTTTAGTTTGATTTCTTAATTTTCAATGACGCAAATCCTCTATGGTCACTTTTATTTCTGTGGGAATCCAGACCATCTGATGGCCTGGATCAGAGGCTCTTTATCTTACCCAGCAGCCTCCACAGAATGAATGTGTAGTGTATCCATTGCTTGGTTGAGTGACCTCCAATAAACAACAAGGCAACCTAATTTTCTTTACAAATGTGACCATTGTCATGATGCTCTCTCCTTAGGGATCCCACAGCTTCATCTGGCAGAGGGGGCCCATCGCTGTGTAGGAAGAGTGGAGATTCTTCACCAAGGCTCATGGGCCACCATCTGCGATGACAGCTGGAGCACGAGTGAAACCCACGTGGTGTGCAGACAGATTGGCTGTGGAGTAGCTACCTCTGCCACACTCAATGATTACTTTGGGTCGAGACCAGACTCTATCCATCTGAATGCCCCAGGCTGCACAGGAGATGAGACCCATTTGTGGCATTGCCCCTCCTGGAGCTGGGATCAGCACAGCTGTACGCGATGGCCAGCTGTAGGAGTCATCTGCTCAGGTATGGTCTGTATTTAATCCAAGGGGAGGAGAGATGGAGAGTGCCAGGAATGTACATGTCTGATCTTGTAATAGAAAATGTGTGGTGATTTTAGGACTGAGAGGTCCATCCATAAAGCATGAATACTTACGTAGCTGAAGGTGATGGGCCTCACTGGCTTCACTGTCATTAAGGCTTGAATGTTATTTCCCACTTAGGTGGATTTATCTAGCAAGATAGTTCATTTTGGTGTCTTGCTGATTAGAATCAACCTTCATAATTTTGTTTCTGTAATTTACCTACAATTCCTAACGTCAGTAAATTAACATGTATATGATCAAATTGTTAAAGGAAGGTCTGATGAGAAGCCTGTACATGACCCATTTGCATTGCATGTTTCTGTATTATAGAAGGAAACAATGTTTAAAACTAACAAGGTGCTGAATGATAGTAGCAGGGTTAGACAAGCACAGGAAAATTTTTAAATTATTGTGTATTTCTAAGTCTCTTTTTCTTGGATTGAGACATTAGTTACAATGGTAAAGATCTGTGAATGAAAGGCCTGAATCATAAATTCTTCCTGAATCAACATGAGAAATGTTTCGCTGTACATTTTTCTTCTAAAAGAATGAGTAAAGTCTGAGTTGTAAAGAAACTTAGTACCTGCTGCCAAACAAAGCAACGCTGGATACAATGGAATTCTCAGTACCTATATAAGCAGAGAGATAAAATATTATCTTTGATAATACCACTTCTTTACATTTTGCCTAAAATCAAGTATAGCTTATTTCTAATGGCTTCACCGTAATAAGAGAAATGCATTTGGGAGCTTATGTCTTAAGAAGATCTATGCTTTTCTCCTACAAGACTTAAAATTTCCCACTGAAAAATTATCAGTGTTTTTACCTGGTTACGCAGCACCTATGGAAGTTTCTGGGGTGTTATAAAACTTGAAATAATGCTCATATTTTGAAAATATACTATGGAAATGGTTTTCAATATGGTCTTCACACACCTGTCTCCTAAACAAATATAAACTCTGTTCAAAAAGCTCAGATCTGCCTTCTGTGAAGCCCTCTCTGGCCCACACTTCATCACTTCCAAATCTGCCATTATCTTCAACAATCTCTGAGCCTTCAGCAACCATCCTGTTTTCTTCTTGCTGTGCCTTATTGAGAAGGACACTATGTCCACTGAGCTTTCAAAAGTGACAGAAGCACAAGAGTATACGTAACTTTGATCCTTAGGAACACACGTGGATCTTATATGTTATGCCTGAAAGACACCATAAAAGACATTGACAAGAGTACAAAAGAAATACAGTAACAAAGAGTTCTAGGAAGAGAAGGGAAAACACATATTGGTTTTTCACAAAGTTAAAGGCAGTGTAAATCATGTTTTTAAAAAGAAATACTCCTTTTACACATTTCCTGGAATCCATGTGCATTTCTGTGACTTTAAGGGTACATAGCATAGAAGGCTTCTGTTCATATGTGCCAAACTCACATGAGACACCTACAGGTTTTAATTACAAGAACCAAGATCCTTAGGCCAACAGATCAAAGACGTTTCCCTGATGTTCTGGGTCTGTGGACATGCTTTTCCTCCTTGTCTGAAGTAACACTGAGGTCAGTCATCATGTAAAGATATCACTTTATTTCTCAGAGATTTCAATATTTAGAATTTTGTGTTTCACATTTAACTTTTGCTATATGAATCCATTGGAGTACCTGTGGAATTTGATTAAATGTAGTCATGCTATTCTATAATCAGTAGTTGTTCCTAAAATTATATATATGGCAGAAAGAGAGAGAGAGAGAGAGAGAGAGAGAGAGAGAGAGAGAGAGAGAGAGAAATTTCATATTAGATTAGGAAGACTGATTGCTTTTGAAAGAGCAAGGAACTAGCTGGAAGCCATCAGTGTGAGTTCATTTTGACCTGAAAATTAGGATAAAAAGTGTCAGCGAATTCAGGAAACAATTTCTTCACAATGGTTATACTGTGAAAAAGACTCAAGTGCGAGCATCTTTAACCTTAGATCAGGGAGATAACAAGAATTTTATGATTGTACAGGAAACAACAAAAGCAGAGAAACAAAGCCCAATGAATGGGAAATTCATCGTCAGTTATTGTCTAATTGATCAAAGTCAAGGATCTATCATGCAGAGCTTTGACAACAGGTTTATAACTGTTGGACCCATTGTGTTAGTTTTGACCCTTCTCACAAGATGTGTATATGGTTTACATTTGTTATTTCTGAAACAAGGATAAAATATGGGAGAATGACTCAGAAAATTACAATTCGAAGGGCAAGATTGTTTGAATTCATTCATGTTTACAGCAGGACAGTAGACTCCTAGGACCATCTGTTGGAATTCTGATAGGGTTAACCAGGAATCAGCCTCAAGATTAAGGTAGAAAAAGAGACAGATACAAATAAAGCAAAGATGTGAAGGTTTCTGTTTTAGTCATCCACTGGAGATCTGAGAACTCAAGTGAAGAGTGAGTGAAAAAACAGCCTCTAAATCTGTGTTAATAAAGAAATTTTAAAAATATTGCCAGTGACTGGAAGTCCCAGTACATTCTCAAATTTGAGTTTAACCTGGGTAACATAGCAATATGCAGTCTCTAGGTAAATAACCAAAACTATAGAGCCAGGAATGTTACTCAATAGGAAGGCTCTGATTCAATTACCAATATGAAAGAAAAAAGATGAAGAAAAACAACATGAAAACAAAGAAAAATAAAATGGCATTCTATCTGAATTTATTCAATCTATCACTCATTTTGTAAGCTAGAAAACCACGTGCAATGAAAATATGAAATAGAAATGGTTAGACTGAAGTCAGGTCCTGCATGGTTGGTGATCTTGGATCGTGACAAAATAGGGACCCCTAATGTGCACCTGCACCTGGGTAGAAATCAGAGCAGCCAGGGAAGCTATGGTAGCATTCACAGGCAAAGCTGACTTCCATTCAGAATTCTTCTCTGCCTGGTAGTGGGCATTTTACTCATTAGTACACTTGTCCCTGTCAAACAATGTCAGTAGTGAAGTTTCAACCCACAGTGCAGGTCTCATGATTTTCAAGTCTATAAGACTGTAAAAACTTGTGTACATTGTGTAGTTGTATTTTTATGTCCAAGAATGTATTTTTTTTGGCTTTTTTTGTTTTTATCGGTACCAGGGATTGAACTCAGGACTGCCTGCTTGCAAGGCAGGCACTTATGCCGCTGAGCTAAATCCCCAACCCCTACCAAGAATGTATTTTAACAACATTCTATTCATATTATGATACACTGTTTAAATAGTGTTTATTATAATATAATATTGAAGCCACCACCTTGGTCAAAAGTCAATGCAAAGTTTCCTATAATATCATTTAAATGACCTTATAGAGTTACTTTAGAATCTGGACTTTTGTTTTCTTGTGCAACCACCAGAAATAAGAAATATTCAGTTAGAATGCTGTATATTAATAAAATACACCAACACTTTTACTTTTCTTTTCAAATTACTTATTGGAGAACAAAACATTATTGAATAATTTGCACTTGAGAAAGATAATATTGCTTTTAATTATTAATAATGTTTGTTACTTAAAATTTCATGTTTGTAGTCAAATATCCCCTTGGATCCTGAAGTCAATCTTAAAATTTCTTCCTAAGCAACTTCCCTAAGTGTTTCCTGATTTTTTTTTTTAATTTGACTTATGAGTTACAATTTACTTACACTAAACTATCAACCACAAAAAAGATGAAGGCACAAGGGATTATTCATTTCTGATGCAGTTTCTCAAAATTCTTTCTGTGTTCTGGATGAGAAATTTAATGCGCACCATTTGGATATATTAGTGTCAAAACGTGGTTTCTGCTTCATTTGCTCTCTAAATTGTAGGCCTCACTCTCATTTTTAATAGGTAAAATAACATAAATTGTGAGGTTTAAATAAATGCTGAAAAGATTTCATTCTTTGTCAACTGTTCATTGTGGACAATATTAGGCAGGGACAGATATATCCTAATGATGGAATAATGAAAACCAAGCCTAATCTTTTTGTTGTTGTTGTTGTTGCATGAAGTCAAATTCAATGGATGAATGTAGATCTTAGAAAAAAAGAAAATAATTTATAGATAGGTGCATAGATGAATGGTAGATCAATAGAAGCATTGGTATCAAGATTAGAATTCTGATGTTCCTCTTACAGGATGGAAAATCATGAAACTGGCTGAAAATTCTTGAATTTATGATGAAACACTTTCTCTTGTGGCTCTAATTTTAACATCAAGGTTCCATCCACTTCCTATATAAACCAATCGTATGAAAAGAAAAGCTTTAACAATAGAACTGCCAACATATCATTCACATTTTCTAAGCCTGGATCAAGAACACTTATGTTTTTATCTTCCTCAGGATTTGTGCGTCTGGGTGGAAGTTTTGGACTCTGCTCTGGAAGAGTGGAAGTGAACTCTGGAAGAGGCTGGATTCTGGTGTCTGATGTGAACTTCACATTCCCCACTTCCCAGGTCATCTGTGCAGAGCTGGGGTGTGGCAAGGCTTTGTCTGTTCTTGGAAACTTGTCCAGAAATGCCAGTGAACAGGTGTGGAGTGAAGAGTTCCAGTGTGAGGGCCAGGAGCCTGAGGTCTGGTTGTGCCCTAGAGTGCCCTGTCCTGGAAGCAGCTGCCACCATGGTGGAGGTGTTGAAGTTATCTGTGCAGGTGAGACTCATGGACAGCAGAACTTTAGCCACTCTGCATAGTATTCAAATGTCATATCTAGCGTATTTTATCTTCTTCTTCTTTTTCTTGCTCTTCTTGTCTTCATCTTCATCTTTTTCTTGTTTCTCTTCCTCTTCTTCCTCTTCTTCTTCCTCTCTTTTCTCTTCTTTTTCATCATACTCTTCTTCTTGATTTTGACCAGTTCTTCCCATATTCCCCCTTTCATCCTTCTTTTCCTTGTCCATTGCTCTGTTTTCTCCTCCTCCTCTGTTTCCTGATTACTGTCTAAAATGACTAATATTGCTTAAGACAACTTTATATTTCCCAGTTTTCTCTTACACTTTTTGATTTTCATTATTCTTATTGTGAAATTTTGTATTTGTCTTAGTGTTACATTCATGAGAACTAAGGTTCCAGATCAGCAAATGGGGAGGATAGGAGGATGAAGAATATAAAGATAAAGACAGAAAGCTGAGTTCAGGTTTAACCCTTCCTCTGGATGGGAGGCAGAAACTATCAACGTCAATTTGAGTTTATTGTACATATGTAATACAATGCCCATTTGTTAAGTTAGCTTGCTTGTTTCACCCTGGGCTGGAACGTCTGCTCTTCTTTTCTCTCCATTTCCCCAGGCCATTCCTTAGGTGTTCTGTCCTTGGGATGTTCTTCAAGTTGTTTAGAAAATATTGTTCCAGTGGAAAATCATAGATGGTTGTGAGATCGGACTAAACTATGGTCAGCCAATAAGATGAAAACAAGTATATGTGGGAAGCCCTGTAATTGGCTTCCAATTTGTAACTGCAGGGTGCACCACCTTAATCCCCTTTAGGAGTTAAGTTTGTTAATTAAGCAGCACCTTGCATAACTTGTTTAGCCTGTCTCATTTTTCATGGATTATGCATATTGAGTACTTTGCGGGAAATCTGAACTGACCTATAAAACCTCAGCCTTGCCATTGTTGCTATGTTACTTGCTGATATCTCAGCACCCAACTCCCTTCTCGATACCCTATATATTTGATATGCATTCCTTGAATAAAGAGAGACTTGATTGGACTTCCTCAACTTGTCTCCGCTCTTTTGTCTCTTGTTTCCTTTTCATCTCCACTCCCTCTCTAGGGTCTCTGTGGACTTACCCACAGGCTGGGTCAAGTGGCGCCCCAACTTGGGACTCAAGAACAGGGCACTTAGTGAGGGACGCTGTCCATGGGCCCAAAGTAGAAAAAGAAAAAGAAAATAGAGGACCGACGTGGGAGCCTGCCTTGCCTTTGAACCTCAGTAAGTGAACAGCGATTATGGGACAAGAAATTAGCCAGCATGAGACTTTTTTTGAAAGCATAGAAAAGCTTTAAAGACACAAAGTGTAAGGGAAAAAAAAATTAGCAGTTGTGTCCACTAGGACAAGAAATGAGTCAACGTGAGATTTTTGTTAAAAGTTTTAAAAAGGCTTTAAAGACAGGAAGGGTAAAGAGGGAAAAAAAAATTAAGCAATTGTCCATTAGGGCTAAACTTTAACTCGGGAGCAAAGCAACCCTGTAGCCAAGCATCCGTTCCCCATACTCTAATGGCCATATAGTTCCGGCTTTAGCGTGTTTAACTTTCAATACTAGGAAGGAATTAAGAAACCAAATTGAACATTTAAAACAACAGATTGAACTAGAAAAAGAACATCAGGATTTGATAGATCAATTAGAAAAACTAAGAACAGCTAAATTTAAAATGAAAAATGAAACTAATCCTGAAATTTCCTCTAGAGCCTCTCCCGCTCAGCGACCCCCACTGAGAGGCATGAATTCTTAATTTACCCCTCTGGCCTGATCCGATATTAAAGCTAGATGATATGGAGGCTTTCCTTGTGACAGAAATGAAGGACACAGAAGGTGGAGTTATTCGAGACTACTCTGGTTTCAATTTAAACTGAATAGAGAATTAAAAACAGTGATTACACAGTAGAAAGACAGCCACGTATACTCTTGCTGTCTTGGATTCTTTGGCTGATGGCTGGCTCACACCTATAGATTGGCAAGGATTGACCCAAGCAACTTTTTGGTTGGGGATTATCTTTTGTGAAAATCAGAATATATAAAAAATTGCAAGGAGACTGCCAGGCACAATATGTAAGCCAGCAATGGGTGGGACCTTGATATGTTAATAGGGGAGAATGCCTATGCCAACAGAGAGGCCCAAAAGCAATTTATGGGCTATATGAGTTCCTCTCTCAGGAGCATTAAGCAGGGGCTGGGGATTTAGCTCAGCAGCATAAACGCCTGCCTTGCATGCAGGCAGTTGTGAGTTTGATCCCTGGCACTGATTTAAAAAAAAAAAAAAAAAAAGTGTTTTACCTGTGGAGAGACTTGTCATTTTGCAAAGAATTGCAAAAAAGACTCCAGAGATAGAGATTCCAATGTCAATTACTTTGACTCATTTAAAAGGCATAGGTCAAAGCCAAAACCCAGAAACAAGTTCAAAACTTCTGACCTGGAAGGACAGAGAGGGCAATCAAGGCACAATACAGCCATATGTCATCGCTGGATTACCAATAAATCTTTGGGGTAGAGATCTACTGCCACAAATGGGATTATTCATGGGTAGCTCAAATACCATTGTCACTGCTCAAATGTTAAACAGTGGATATTCACCTGGTAAAACTGTATCTTTCCAAACAAACAGTACATCAGCCCAGACCACAGAGTTGCATGCTGTCACTGTAGCCCTTTCAGCATTTCCCAATAAGCCCATGAATTTATAAACTGACAGTACTTATATTGCACACTCTGTGCCCCTGCTAGAAACAGCTGGCCAAATCAAAAGTGCCTCCAGCACTGGAGAAATGTTTAGGCAAATACAGGTGCTTATTATAAAATTAACTTGCCCTTTTATTATTGGATATCTGTGTGCTCACTCTGGGTTACCAGGACCTCTGGACAATGGTAATCATACAGCAGACCTGGCCACTTGACGGCAAGCTCTCCTTTGTCCTTTGCTAATGTTAGCTCCAGTGATCATGATGACAATGTTACTTCAGCACAAATAGTCATCAATTACACCATCTCAATGCCCAAACCCTCCGTCATGCACAAGATCACTAGATAGCAAGCCAGACAGATAGTAAAATTGCCCTTCTTGTGCCATGCACCTCCCAGTTCCACACTTTGGCGTTAATCCTAGAGGACTTATCCCCAATGCACTATGGCAAATGGATGTCACCCATATGCCTGAGTTTGGCGATCTTAAATATGTTCATGTTACTGTAGATACTTTAGTGGTTTCATTTATGTCTCTCTCCAGACTGGCAAATCTATCAAACATGTTATTAGCCATATGTTAACTACAAGTTTTGGGATGCCCACAACAATTAAAGACTGATAATGGTCCAGGCTATGCTAGTTCTGCCTTTGCTCATTTCTGTCAACATCTTAATATTCATCATATAAAAGGCATACCTTATACACCTCAAGGTCAAGGCATAGTTGAAAGGGCACATCTCTCCCTAAAACTCAATGTTGATAAAATAAAAAAGGGGAATGGTGCCCCACAAGGGGGACACCTAAAAATATTCTATCTCATGCCTTATTCATCCTTAATTTTTTTTTAAATTTGGATGCTGCTGGACAGTCAGCAGCCATGTGTTTTGGGCATACTGAAACACAAAAGCAATTTGCTTCTGTACTATGGACAGATTCCCTAACTCATGGCATGGTCAAGACCCAGTCCTTATCTGGGAACAATGATCAGTAAAGAGATGAAATCTGCAAGATGGCTGCCAGAACAATTGGTTAATCCAATAGATCAAATACAACAAATAGAGGATAATGTTACAGATGACTCCAGGGACGAAAAATGACCCCAGAGAGAATTTTTTCGCAGCTTTTGTTTTTCAGTTGATGGAACCAACAGCCTGGATCCTGTCTCTTGCAATTATGATGACTAAGTTGATGGCTTTTGTGAAACAACTGGTGGATGCTACAAAAAATGCAACCTATACAGGTCCATTACCACAGGCCTGGAATGGCTGATAGAGAAAATTATGTGGAGCCTGCAAAACTGTATTATGATAATGCTTTGTGAAAGCATGCTGCAAGCTCCATTTCTCTTGCCTTGGTGTGATAGACTGGATAGCCAGAGATGGGCAAATGGGCCTCACATGGGATGCCAACCTCCACCTAAGCAAGACCAGGGCCTCTCTCTGCCCTGCCTTCCAATGACCGGTAAGACTAGGTTGCCCCCCGCTGTGGAAGCGCCCTGACCCAAGACAGGCACAGTCTCCTCAAAGATGCAGCCTATGGTATGCCTCTTATATTTTAAAGTACAAGGGGACGTGTGGGGAGCCCTGTAATTGGCTGCCACCTTATATCTGCAGGCCGCACCACCTTAATTCCCTTTAGGAGTTAAGTTTGGTAATTAAGCAGCACCTTGCATAACTTGTTTAGCCTGTCCCATTATTCATGGATTATTCATATTGAGCCCTTTTGCGGAAAATTTGAACTGACCTATAAAACCTCCGCCTTGCAATGGTTGCTACATTACCTGCTGATGTCTCAGCACCCAGCTCCCTCCTCCTTAATACCCTATATATATTTGATACTGATTCCTTGAATAAAGAGAGACTTGATTGGACTTCCTCAGCTTGTCTCCGCTCTTTGTGTTTCTTGTTTCCTTTTCATCCCCACTCCCCCTCTAGGGTCTCTGTGGACTTCCTCGCAGGCTGGGTCAAGTAGTCACTATCAAATGAGAAAACACTTTTTTAGCTCCGCTAAAACTTTGCTGATTTTATCTTTCAAAAAGGCACCTCTTTGTTCTTTTATTTGTTTATTTTATTCATTTGCAGTCTGATCTTTTATATTTTTTGCAAACTAATAATTTTCTGTTCACTTTGTCCTTGTTTTAGATGTTCCTTTAGTTGTTCTGTTTGTGTTTTGGAATGCTTTGGTAGCTTATTTTAAGGTATTTCTTTTTTAACTGAAGATGCTTAAACCTATAAACTTCACTTACAGAAATACACATACTACATCCTGTAAGTTTTAAATTATGCTTCTCTTTAATGTGTTTCAAGAATTTAAAATAAAAAAGTCTTTGAATGAATTGAATAATTTTCTCCTTGAGTTCCTACATTTGAAGCCCCTTTCCTGTTTTCTCCTATTCCCTCTGAACATGGTTTTCTTATTCTTTGTTAGTGTTCTGCTCTTTTCATCTAGAAGTCCTCCAACTAAAATGCTCTCTTTTCAAAGGTTTCATCTATGCAACCCTGTTTCCCTTAACTTTCTATCAGATCTATTAGATTGGATAGGAAAATATTTTAGATTTTTATGGTTGTTTCTTTTGTTTTGTTTTGTTTTGCCTTCTTTTGTCTCATCTTGTTTTGAAATAAGATCTCACAATGTAATTTAGCCTGGCACTGAATTCACCATGGAACCGAGGCTGACCTTAAACAGTACAATCTTCCTGCCTCCACATCTCAGATGTGGGATATGTCTGCTACATCAAGTAGAAGCACATTGTTCAGTCTCTGTATATTTATGCTATTTCCAAATTTCTTTCATTTGTTTATTTCTAGATTTTAATCACTGGATCAGAAAAGATACATGATATTACTATGATATTTTTTGAATACATTAAGTCTTAGTTTGTGGCATAATATATATCTGTCTTAAAGGATGCTCATATGCAACTGAGTTATGTATTCTGTTCTTGTATGGAAGATTCTATGTATCTGAGTCAAGTCCAGTTTACATAGCATACAGGTTAAATCTATTTTTCCTTTGCTGATTTTTTGCCCAGATGATCTGCCTATTACTGAAAGTGGATGTTGAAATCCCTGTTATATCGCACAATAGTTCATATATCCCTTTAGGTTTATGAATGTTTGTCTTGCTGTAGTGACCTTATTATGATTATATGACCATGTTGTATGGCTCTCTTTATAATTTTTCACATTAAATCTATTTTATTTAGAATAAATGGGTTACTCTTGTTCTTTTTTTTAAGTTTCTGTTTACATGGAATATCTTTTTTTTTTTCATTTATTCACTTTCAGGCCCAATTTATCCTTAAAAATGAAGTAAGTATTTTTTGGGTAATATACACTTTGGTAATGTTAATTTAACCATTTGTCATTTTTATTTTGAATATTCCTTAATAAATTATTGCATATATTATTTTTATGTGTTTTATCTTGGAATCTTCTTCCTTATGATATGCGATTACCTTTAAAAATTATGCTATTAAAATATTCTGAGGTTGTTTGCACACTTCTTAGATTGTCTTGTGTGTGTGTGTAT